TTAGCATTCTTGTTATTCATGATTTTGTATTTCCCACTCAGTTTTTGGTCATCCTTGGGTGCCCTAGTGGTTCCTTTTTCTACAATATGGCCTTCCTCATGGAGAGGAGCTGCTTAAACCACCCTGGAGAGGTCATGTGAAATTCTACAGATATCCAGGGCCAACTGTCATTCTCCAGCCTCTCAGTAGAACCAGTTCCTGCCACTGCCCCTGTGGGCTTTCCTTCTGCAGACCCACCTGGCCCATCCCTGTGGCTGCATGGTCACTGTCGTCATATTTTGTCCCTGGTCTCTGCTCTTTGATTGCCACTTGAAGACCAAGCCATGAGGTCTGTCGGGCCACTCTGGGCACCTGAAGTTACTTGGCTACTATCAGGATGTGGACTCACCGTCATTGTCAGGAGGGCTCTGCACCCTTGGGGAGGTGTTCTGGGTGCTTAGAAGCTGGCCTCAGGTGGAGCATACTTTGGATAGTCTGATGTACCTTGGGTCCCTTCACAGCCAGGGCTTTGAAGTTTTCAACCTTCATTTTCCCTCACCAGTGGTTCTCAGTTCACATTCTGAGCTTGGAGGCTGGCAGGGCGAGTTTCAGCTGCCCACCTATCCCTCAGCTGCTTCTTTCCATCCTGTGGAAGTCACTGGGTAGTTCTCATGCCAAAAGTGAAGCTTGCAGTGCCTCACCACCCACGCCTCCTCCTTCAGTGCCCTTTACAAGTATCCTGAGTGTTTTGCTTTTGCAAAACCCTCTGGTCATGAGATCTGGGGCTACTTGGTGAACCCCAAGAGGACTGCAGTCCAAAGCCTTTGACTTGGTCTCATTGTCTCTAAGCAGAGTCAAATCTAATTCAATTTCCCTTTTAAAAATGTTTTTGCCAAGCTCGCAAAGGCCAAAGCTGGAACAATTTGAGCATCAACGTAATGAGAGTATTGGATTACAACTTACAGAATAAAATAAATATCCATTAGTGCATACTTAGATAAATAAACAATTGCATACATTAGGAAATGGGAAAGAAAGGACAGTAGAATTCTAATCAATACAAAGAATGAGAGAAATCGAAACTCACAATGACGCAAACACCATAGTAATATTTGCTTCGGATATCAAGTTTGAGGAGAAACAGGATATTTATAGAATCTCAAAATTACAAAGGAATAAATCTTAACTTTATAGTGAAAAATCTAGCAGATACCACCTTTACCATGTGGTTAAGGTTAATATCACAGTCATAAGATATAGGACATTGGCTGGGCATGGTGACTAATGCCTGTAATCTCAGCACTTTGGGAGGCTGAGGCGGGTGGATCACGTAAGGTCAGGAGTTTGAGAACAGCCTGGCCAACATGGTGAAACTCTGTCTCTACTAAAAATACAAAAATTAGCCAGGTGTGGTGGCAGGTGCCTGTAATCCCAGCTATTGGGGAGGCTGAGGCAGGAGAATCACTTGAACCTGGGAATTGAAGGTTGCAGTGAGCTGAGATTGCGCCACCGCACTATAGCCCAAGCAACAGTGCCAGACTCCATCTCAAAAAAAAGAAAAAGATATAGGACATTGTGTGCTCCCTGATATGATGCCCTGCAAAGGTGTATTAGTCAGGATTCTCCAGAGAAAGCGAACCATTAAGATTTGTTATAAGGAGCTGGCTCACACAATTACGGAAGCTGACAAGTCCCAAGATGTGCAGGATGAGCTGGCAAGCTGGGGACCCAGGAGGGCTCAGTGTCCCAGTTTGATAGCAGTCAAGCAGAATGAAATCTGTCTTTTCCTTACTCAGGAGAGGGTCAGCCTTTTTGTTCTATTCAGGCCTTCAACTGATTGGATGAAGCCCACCCACCTTAGGGAGGATAATCTGCTTTACTCAGTCCACTAGTTCACATGCTAATCTCATCCAGAGACACCCACACTGACACATTGTGCTATTTTTGCAACATTTCTGTAAATATAAAATTATTTTAAAATGAAAATTTAAAAAAGCTTTTTGCCATCAGGTACCATGAGGACTTTTGAATGATGGGATACTATTGTATTCTTTACATTCATAACTGTCCTGTGTGTGTGTACACATATATAATTTTATATCTGCCACTCACCATTTTCCACGGATACTAAGTTCCATCTGTATTTTTTCAGGCACCTTTAAAAACACTTGGTTTCTGTTCTCTTTTCCCTTTTGCATTCTGTATTCCTTCTTGACCAAAGCATCCTTTTGTAAACTTTCACAGCTCCGCCCTTCTGCTGTTCCATGCAGACTTTATCTCTGAGATGAAGATCCGTGTGGCACATTGTGGAGACTGAGAGCATCAGCCATAAGTCAGGAGACCTGGTAGCATTCTCCACCTTCTTCTCTACTTACTAACTCAGTGTCTTCCAATTTTAAGATTTTGAGGCCAAATGGCAAATTTTGGCTAAACATTGTGTGCACTATTTGATGTGTGTGTTCAAATGATTATATTTTTGTGATTTTTCCTTTTTATCAAAGTTCTGTGTGTTCTATTTTTAGGTTTTTCATTTTTTTTTTTTGAGACACAGTCTCACTCTGTCACCAAGTGCCAGGCTGGAGTGCAGTGGTGTGATCTTGGCTCACTGCAACCTCTGCCTCCCGGGTTCAATCAGTTCTCCTGCGTCAGCCTCCCTCGTAGCTGGGACTACAGGTTCGTGCACCACCATGCCCAGCTTTGTGTTTTTGTAGAGGCAGGGTTTCACTGTGTTGGCCAGGATGGTCTTGATCTCTTGACCTCATCATCCACCCGCCTTGGCCTCCCAAAGTGCTGGGATTACAGGCCATGAGCCACCACACCCGGCCAGTTTTTCAAATTTTTATTTGTATTTATGTTTTACATTTTGCCTTCAAAGTCTTTGGATTCTACAACAGACTTCAACATTTACAGACTTTACTCTGGCATTTCCCTTAGAGTCCTTTTGAGTAATTCAAGGACAGCAACATTTTCTTTTTTCCCTTCTCTCTGAGGCTGTATGTAGCCCTTCTCACAATGATCCTGAAGCCCTCTCATGGCTTCCAGTGTGTGGGTAGTCCTGTGTTTGGTTTGAATGGGTTGAGCTCTGGCATAATCCCATAGGGAGGACTGTTTGGCCACCTGGCCAACATCTCCCTCCTGCCCTAGCAGGGTAGCAGGGGAGCTCCTGTGCAGTTTCCCTCTGCCTACCTGCATTCACTTAATGCCAGCAGGGGTGCGGTGGAGTCATGGTGTCAGCGGGATGCGCCCTTCCTAAGTAACACTTTAGGAGTTACTTCTTATGCTGTCTAGTTTTTGTTATATTTTTGTTCAGGTAGTACTTTCTCTGGATTTTCCCCCAGTATTTGGATAAGACTCAAATAATGGAGAAGTTGGCTGACAGTGGGAAATAGCTGAGGGCTCTAAGGTGAATGACTTGACTGTCCTCACCAGAAAAGGAAATTTGGTTAGGTTCAGCATATTGCCCTAGTATAGGGTATTCCTTGGTCCTTACGGCATATATAGGAGAAATGATTTTTAAAAATCACTTCCCCCTTCGTTTGTGCTATAACAATTGTTAACCTGTGTTCCTGCCTCCAGCCATTTCCCCCTCCTGTCTTTCCTCTGCATTGTTATCAGATACTCAGTTTCCTCAGCTTGTCACTCAAGAATGGTGAAAGGGGTAGATATTCCTAGAGTACAGCATGTAGAACCAGGCCAGGCATGTAGTAAATGTGGTATAAGGGTTTGCTAAATAAAAATAAGCATGGTGGTCATGGTGGCTCACACCTGTAACCCCAAGCAGTTTGGGAGGCCGAGGCGGGCAGATCAGTTGAGGTCAGGAGTTTGAGATCAGCCTGGCCAACATGGTGAAACCCTGTCTATACTAAAAATACAAAAATTAGCCAGGCGTAGTGGTGGGCACCTGTGATCCCAGCTACTTGGGAGGCTGAGGCAGGAGAATCACTTGAACCTGGGAGGTGGAGGTTGCAGTAAGCCAAGATTATGCCGCTGCACTCCAGCCTGGGCAACAGAGACTCCACCTCAAAAAAAAAAAAAAATGACTTAGGAAGTTAATAGTGTCAGGTGGGATATGGAAAGGACTAGAGAAAGGGAGGGGCTGTCATGAATGTTAATGTACATTACGTCATTTCATCTTCACAGTAATCCAAAGAAATGACACTCTTAGTTTCATCCCCATTTCCAGATGGGAAAACTGAGACTGTAGAGGTTACGTGATGACCAGATTCCCACAGTGAATAATGGTGATGTGAACTAAGCAGATCCGTCTCCCCCAGTGCTTCCTCTGTATGCAGCAGCATCTGACAGTAGCCTGGGAGATGACTTGGGTCAGTTGTAATAGGTTGAGTGTGATAGTCTGGTGACAGGGCCTGGATGAAGTCAGTGGTGTGAAATGGAGAGATGGGAGCAGCAGTGTGAAACATCCTTTCATAGGAACCTGATGCCAGGGCTGAGCCTGTGACCTCATAGCTTCTCTTTACTTAGTGTTTTCCATGGAAGCTGGTCCTCAGAGGTGAGAACCTTGCCAGGACCATGTGGTGTCATGGGAAACCTCACCTCCAAACCTCTTAAGCTTAGGCTTCTTGTTTTTCCCAGGGAAATGTATTTAAATTAATAATGTCAGTGCTGATGTTGGCTGTGCTTGGTTTGGATTACTTTTGAGATGGTTTAAGCAAACTTTCAGGTGTTCTCAAGCATTACAGGCTTTACTTAACTAGAGTTTGAGACAAGAAGGTTCCCCAGAGGTCTGGTGGTGATCATTTCTTTCCCTTTTCCCTCATCTGCTTATTTTGATATGTTCCCTGTGTTGCTATCCTATGGGTTGATGTTATCACATAATTGCTTAATTCATTTTACTTTTGTTTATTTTATTTTTTTAAGAAAAAGGGTGTGCATGCATTTCAACTCTGCAAAGCTTTTTGGCATTCAGTTAAAGAATGTATAATAGAGTGTGCTAAATGCCATTGCGACAGTGTAGGGCAGTGTGGACCAGCCCAGTGACTTCTCTGCTTTATCTGCTGCAGGTGATAAGAAGTACATCATGGGGCCCAAGCTTTCCACTCTCGACGCCACTGTCTTTGGACACTTGGCCCAGGCAATGTGGACCTTACCAGGGACAAGACCCGAGCGGCTGATCAAAGGCAAGCCCTACATACCTCTTCAGGTTTTGGGGCTTCCTGGGGGTGGGTGGGCAGTGGAGTAGCACAGTGGAGAATTCTAGGCCAATGCTTTGATCTTGGCTGTACTTTATGGAGACACCAGGCTGTGGTATACAGGCTAGGGTTGGTTCTCTGTACTCAGTACACTTTGGCATGGAAGAGAGACTGTGCTTCTCACTTGCTGTCTTGCCTAGACTATGTACTTAGCAATGTTGACATAGATCTGCCATGTTTTTATGCTAACACTTTTATTCTATCTGCTTACATCATGGACCTAAGATTTGTTGCTGAAATAGAGCTTGAATTCCACATAGTGCCCTTGGTTTGCTGGTCTTCATTAATTTCCTTTGGGTAGTGGAGGCTCCCCACTTTCTGGTGTATTTTGCCTTACTGTAGGTTAATGTAAGTGTTCTGAGCATGTTTAAAGCAGGCTAAACTAGTGTATGATGTTTGGCAGGTTAGGGGTATTAAATGCATTTTGGACTTTATATATATGTGTATATATATATATACACATATATATATATTTTTAATGGGGTCTTGCTCTGTTGCTTGGGCTAGAGTGGAGTGGCATGATTATAGTTTACTGTAATCTAAAACTCCTGGGCTCAAGTAATCCTCCTATCTCAGCCTACTGAATAGCTGAGACTTCATGAGTGAGCCACCATGTTCAGCTCATTAAAAAAATTTTTTTAAATAAATGAGATCTTCCTGTATTGCCCAGGTGGGTCTTGGCATCCTGGCCTCAAGTGATCCTTCTGCTTCAGCCTCCCAAGTAGCTGAGATTACAGATATGAACCACTGTGCCCAGCTGACTTATGATATTTTTAGCTTTTGATGGGTTTATAGGGATGTAGTCCTATTCAGGTCAAGGAGCATCTGTATGTGGCAGCCAGGGCCTCTGGGAGAGGCTTCCCCTGCATAGTTGGGTAGGAACTGTTTCAAGGAGTACCCAAGCAAGTGCCTGGGGGCCAGGTATGTGGGGATCAAAGTTCAATATTTAGGTTTGGGGAAGGGTATAGACAAGAATTAATCAAAATGTTTATGCCCAACTGAGCAGGCTGGGTATGTAGGCAGGAGACCAGTAGAATAGCACATAGAATGCTCTTAATAAATGTTGAATGGATAACTGGATGGGTGAATGGTGGATGGATGGATAGATAAATGGACAGATGGATGGATGAATGGATGGCTCGATGGATAGAGGGATGGATGGAAACAAGCAAGGCAGAATCATACAAGAAACTGAGGCAGGCAAGCAGTCATGTATGGTGGTCATGGTAGATGGGTGGGGAGGTAGTGGAGCTTGTAGCTCTGTGTGTCTGTGTGTGTATATATGTGTGTGTGTCAATTCATGTGCATGCCCAGGTGGTTGAACTAGGCTGAAGCCAGCAGCACTCACTCTCCAGATCCTCTTATTGGTGGGGATGGGGCTCCAGATTCCTTATCAGGCTTGGTTGGAATGGGTCAGGCATTGATCGAAGGTCTTCTGGAAGTTCAGCTGAGTGGGACTAGGGATAGTATGGACTGTCATTTAATTTCCTAAGTGGTCATTATGAGGATGTTCCTTGTTTTGCAATACATTGGTATTTCTCTAAATTAAATATGTTATCACATTGGTGAGGTTTGTGGCATTTAAAATATTAGTTTCCCTTTATTTTAATCATATTTTTTCATAGTGGGCTAAAAGATATTGATTCCTTGTAGTTCATTTAGGGCTGTGTTTTATGTCCATTCTCTGTTTCTATTATTTCCTGCTCTATTCCCCCCATTCTCCCACCATACCATCCTTTCACACCCCCATGTACACACCCACCCACATCTATTCAAATGCTCTGTACACCCCCCCACACTCACTTGTACAGATATGCCTACACTTCTACCCAAACACAACCCTAAATGCACAAGTATGCACACACACACACACACACACACTATTGTGGTCATCTGTTATTTAGTCTGAAGTATTTAGGGACCCATTATCAGTAGAACTCACAGACTGTATGGAATTCCTTCTTTCAGAAATGATGCATTTTTTTTTGATTTGGCCATTTTCTCTATTACTCCCTGAAAGGACTTGAGGCATTTAGTGTTTTTTTTTTTTTAAAGAAATAATCAGCCTTTTTGGAGGATTGATTTTGGGCCTCATGCACATCTGGGGAATCTGACACCATCGTCTGCAAGGGGCTTTTGGTGCATAGTTGCATGTACTTTGATTCTTAAAGTAGCTTCCAGCTTTCCCTGAGTACCGGTGTAACATGAATTATTAGAGTCCACAGGGATCTCTAAATCCCATTTTAGGCATTAGCTCCATACCCCTTCTAAATCTTTGGATTGGAGCTGATAACATGCAGCCAAACTACTACTGCTGTAATTTGCTCTCAACCTCTTTCCCTGCCTTTGCTGTCTCTGTGATAGAGACTTTCTCAAGAAGTAACATGAGAAGGGTTAAGTAGAAACAACGAGGAGCCTGGAGATTTTAGAGCTGGCTGAAACCCAGGGGTTTGAATGGCTTGGATTCAGGTAGTTTTCTGCCTTAGCGTTGGAATGGCAGAAGCACCACTAGGCCTTGCCTTATTGTGAGTGTGTTTGGATGAATATTAGTTTTTTGGTCCAGTGTATTATTTACAAAGCCACACAGCTACTTTTGGAATTTTCCTTCATTTAGATGAGCAGGAGGACAGGCTTTTTTTTTTTTTTGAGATGGAGTCTTGCTCTGTTGCCCCAGGCTGGAGTGCGGTGATGTGATCTTAGCTCACTGCAACCTCCACTTCCTGGTTCAAGCGATTCTCCTGCCTCAGCCCCCTGAGTAGCTGGGATTACAGCAGTGCACCACCATGGCTGGCTAATTTTTGTATTTTTGGTAGAGATGGGGTTTCACCATGTTGGTCAGGCTGGTGTCGAACTCCAAGGATAGGCTTTGAATATACATATGCATGCATATATCTATCTGGATAGAGATATAAATATGAATAATAATTTGCTTACTGGAGAAAATTTAGAAAAATATAGAAAAGTTTTAAAAGAATAAAAAATAACTTGTGACACCATCTTTCACAGAGAACGATTTCTGATATTGTGGTATGTAGCAGATCTTTTATCAACTATAAGTATATATATATATTTAGATTGGGACCATAATGTTGATACAATTATAACCTAAAGTTTTAAAATTAACTGTGTAGTTTGGCCATTTCCCTTGTCATGAAATACTCTTCAAAATGGTATTTTTAGTAGTTGCATAATATCCTATCCTATGGCTACATGGTAATTTATGTGACATTTCTGGACTTGTGAGTTGTTTTCAGTAACTTTTACTAATATTCTATAGTGAACATTGTTATAAATATATACTCTTGCTCATCTCTGGTTATTTCCTTAGGCTAAATTTCTTGTTCAGTAATTACTCTCTCAAAGGGCATAAACTCTTGGTCTCCATGGCTAAATTGCTTTCTAGTAAGATTATACAATTTATATTATCATGAGCAAAGTCTGAAAGTACTTCTATTTTTGTTCCTTGATTAGGGTTGAATATAATTTATTTTGAATTTTTTGCCATTTTGATACTAAAAAAACTCAGTTTTATGATTGGCACATTCTTAATGTGGAGTCAGATTTGATATTTTAATCAGGGCTCTTAAGAGAATTGCCTGTGGATTGAGACACTCCTTAAAACAGATGTGGAGAGCTTAAGAAAGCTGAGAAAAGTGAAACTGAAGCTATGATGGGTCAAGAGCTCTGCAACGTGTCTGCCTGTGTCCTCCAAAGTCCTATCAAAGCCACAGACCTTAATGTGATTTTCTGAATTAGGAGCACAACCTTCTGTAATCTAGGAAAAATTTCATTCAGCAATTTTTACCAGCAGTTATTTATTGTACTTAAATGTCTTTTTTACTTATTACTTGATAGATTAAAAAGTAGAAAACATGCTGCCTCTTCTTGACCAGCATGTAAATATCTCCTCACTCCTGTACTCTTTCTGTTCTCCATCTGGAGGGAAGTGTTCAGGAAGAGGTTGTCGTGAAGGGATTTGGGTTTCAGGAAAGGGCTGGATCAAGTTACCTTGGCTGGTCTTTGTATTTGGAGATCTGTGAGTTAATATTTTTTAGCTTCAAGGAGACAAGGCATAGGGGATATTTTCACTAGAGTATTCAAGTGTTTTGGGAACTTTTCTGAAGAGGATATATGCTCAGTGTCCTCTCTGCGTGCGTGACAGATGCTAAAAGGAGCAAACAAGAGTATAGTCAGTGCCTAGCATGGATCTGGAACAGGGAGGTGCTGAGTAAATACGTGTAGAGCAAATGTGCACATTTGGATGTTGGCCTGTGTTTTCCAAGTTATTTGCTGGTTCGTGACCAAGGGCTGGCGAGTGCTGCTGGGAGACATTGGCAGGCTTCTCTCTCATCTGCATTCCTGCCTTGAGTGATTGGCAGCTGGGAGAAGCTTAGTTCTGGATTCTGGGTTTGGTTGACAATGTTTTTGGCATCGAATTGTACAGAATGTTTTTATTATTAGAGAAATTAGAGGATATAGGAATATAAACATTGTCACTTCTAAAAAAAAATCAGGGAGGGTATTTCCATTTGCGAAACTGTAAGAGAAAGGTTCTTTATTCTATCTGCGATTATCTTCTGGGTAGACAGGCACTTGGCTTTCTGATAAATATCCTCTCAAGTTGTCTGAGAATATCACTGTGTTTCTTATCAATTTATTTTATTGTATTTTTAGATTTGAAAAGTAATACATGATTGTTACAGTAAGTTGAATTACAAAGGCATAGTTTAAAAAACTTATGACCTCTTCATCCGTGTCCAATATTATTTCTATAGAATAATCAATATTAAGGATTGAATGTAAATCCTTTTGTGCCTTTTTCATGTACAGATTCACATATGCATATATAGGTGTTTTGGTTTGTTTTTACTTTTTTTAAACTAAACAATGGAATTATATGCATTATCCATAACTTGTTTTTTTCACATAATAGAACATGATATTATTTTAATAGCCTCACAATATTCTATAGCATAGATACACCTTAATTTATTCAATCAATACCTATTGGTGGACATTCAGGCTGTTTCCATCATTTTCTTCTTTTTTTTTTTGGCTTAAAAAACCTTCATTTGATATTCATGTACATGTATCTTTACATACCACTACTTTCATTATAGTTGAATAGAGTACTAAAAGTGAAATCCTGGGCCATGAGATATGCACATTTAAAATTTCAGTAGATAACATCAGATTGGTTTCCAAAAAAGGTTATAGCAATGTATACCTCTGCCAGCCACGTAGTGTAGTGCCTGACCGTCCACATCCTCATCAGTGTTGGACGTTATCAGACTTTTTTAAACCAGCGTTACTACCTGATTGTTGAGTACACTTTGAAGAAATACAGTTTTTCTATTATTTTGCAAAGTTTATGTCTTCTGTATAGGCTTTTTTTTTTTTTAAAGATAGAGTGTCACTCTGTCTTCCACACTGGAGTGCAGAGGCAAGATCTCAGCTCACTGCAGTATTTGCCTCCCGGGATCAAGTGATTCTCCTGCCTCAGCCTCCCAAGTAGCTGGGAATACAGGCACCTGCCACCACACCTGGCTGATTTTTGTATTTTTTTTAGTAGAGAGGGGGTTTTGTCATGTTGCCCAGGGTGGTCTCAAACTCCTGGCCTCAGGTGATCTGCCCACCTCGGCCTTCCAGAGTGCTGGGATTACAGGCATGAGCCACTGCACCTGGCCTGTATAGGCATTTATATTAATACAGGTTTATCTATCTCTCTCTGTCTCGCACACACACACACACACACACACACAGATACTCCACACAACCTGTTTCTGCTGCCACCTTTTTCTGTTCTTTTGTCCAGTAGCATGTTAAGTCGCTCAGCTGATGGAGAGTTTAGGCACAGGAAGGTATAGGCAAAGCCAGAAGAAGATAAAACCCAACTACAGATGTCCACTCTCTGCTTCACTCTTTATCAGGGGCAGGAACTGAGGAATATGTGGGCTCCCAGCTCTTGCTTATCAAAGCAAACCCTTATTGGAATGTTCACCTCTTTCATGACAGTACATTGCCATTAGGGAGAGGCACCTCTCCCCTCACAAATCTTGAGACTTCAAGAATAATTACAGAAAAATATTCCATGACAGGTAGTGCACTACTGCTAATTCCCAGGCCATGTTGTCAGCTCATCAATAGAGAGTTGAGTGGAGGTGATGGGCATGAGGACTAAGGAGGTTAATATGAATTCATCGGGTGAGTGAAGCACTTTAAGTGCCTGGCACATAGTCAGGACTATATAACAGTTTGCTATTATAATTATTAATTTTTATTATTGCATACTGAAGTGGTATTAATGTCACATGGTTACAGAACAGGCAACTTTTCTGGAGAAAGGTGGAAAAAAAAAACAGGCTGTAGAAAGAAAAGCTATGTAAGAAGTGACAGTCATAGAACCTGTGGATCTCGAGAATAGATTCTCATTTTCTGTAGGAAAAGCTAGTAAAGAATGGATTTGATTGAGGCAAACAGGGCTGGCCCCAGGTATTACTGTGAGGTGACTGTATTTCATCTTTGATGTCTCTTTACCTCCCCAATTAGACTTTTTTTTTTCCCTCTTGTTGCTGCCTTCACATCTTTATTCAATTATTGGTTCCCCAGGATAGGCAGTAATACCTGGAGAGGTGTTTTGTGACTGTCCTCATGAGGGAGAAAATAAGTAAAGGTCGTCTACGCTGCGTCTCCTCAAAAGGAGCAATGGTATTGACTTTTCACTTTCTGGCTCCTGAGCATGTGCACACATATCTTCTGAAAGAGAATAGACTTTTGCATAGTGAGGGTTGAGCTGTTATAACCTGAGAAGACTGGAAATGGTGACCTGGAACCAGTACAAGTCTATGGGATCCATCAAGCAGGGGGATTTACTTTGTTAGGTTTTGCAGGGAATGTAAGCAAGTTTTGAAAAATTTTAATGACATGGAAAAATGTACAATAATGTTACAGGAGATAACATGTAATAATAATGGCAATAGGTAAATAGAAAAATACTGAAAGAAGTTACACCAAATGGTAATTGTGATTATCTTGGATTGATGAAATCATGGGTACTTTTAATTTTCTTCTTTATGTATTTGTACAGTTTCTCTATACAGACTAATGCTAATTTTCCAAAATGAGAATATGTTATTTTCCTTAATAGGTAAATGAAATAGCGTAGTGACAAACTATAATCAACAAAACCATTAATATGGAAACAACCTAAATGACCTGTGATGGGGATTGGTAAAGACGAAATGAAGCCATATAGCGTTGTGTGCAGTTATCACTGTGGTCAGAGTGTGAAGTTCAGAGGTTTTTATTATATGTTATTAAGTGAAAAGTAGGGTAGGAAAAAGAATATATAGTAAATCCTATATAGCACATGTAAATATATGTAAATATGTACATTTCTGGAGAACATAAATGAAAATGTTATTGTGGGGAATGGGATTCTTGGTGATGCTTTTAGTTTTTGCTTATCTGTTATTTCTAATTTTCAGCACTGAAGCATGGATTATTTACACAATATGTGAATGTTTATATAACTTAAAAAAATCCAAAGATATTTTTAGAGTAATAATGTCCTATAAGAGATAGTAGCAAATCATGTATTTATAAGCAATGTTGCCATCTGCTGGATCAAAAGGAGAAACTCACCCTCTTTCTTTCTTTTTCATTTGGAATTACGAAATGAAGGCCAGATATAGTGTCATATTTCAGACAAATGCCTAGACAGTAATAGTGACTTAACACAAGAGTTTCTTTGATTCACATGAAAAAGAAGTATAGTTCAGTGACTGAGTGGGACCTGGATCCTGGGTACTGCTGTTTAATTTCATATAAAAATTTACTAAGTGTGTTTGTAGGCACACTTATCCATAAAAACAATTCTGAGTTATCCATTTAATGGATTTTTTTGGGCAGAAAAGTTTATATCCTAACATAACTTTTTTCAACTATTTGGCATAGTACTCAGCCCATAGTACACTGCAAAAATTTGTGGAGTAAATGATTATTTCTGGCTGATTTAATGCAACCAGCAGTTGATATGTTTTCATGGAATATAAATTAATTTATATATGAACCAATCAAAGCATTAGTTTTTTTCATATGCAAACATAAAATAATAAAATGCTTCATAAAGCCAAATGATGGTAGTTTATCTGCCGTTTTGGATAAACTACACCACCACTTACCATCGTCGGACTCATTTCTTCATTTCATTCAGCCCATTCACTGAATTTAACTTTTCTCACTTACCATTTTTATTATGTGCTTAAAAACCTAAATATTTTCATAGCATCTCTATGGAAAAATACTGTTAATGTTTACCTTGCCTCATTATTCCAGTTTCCCAGAAAGCCTAGTGGCTAGATGTCTTAGTTTGGGCCTCTCTCACAGAATGCTGTAAGTTAGGTTTCTGGTAAACAACAGGAATGTATTTCTCACAGTTGTGGAGTCTGGGAAATCCAGGATCATAGTGGGAAGTGCAGGATTATGATGCTGACCAATTCAGGATCTGGCTCTGGTGAGGGCCTGCCTGCTGGGCCTGCTTCCTGGTGAAGGCCGGCTTCCTGCACCTGGACACAGTGCTGTCTTGCTGTGTCCAGACATGGTAAAAGAGGGAAGGCAGCTCTCTCTGGCTTCTGTTATGAGGGCACTTGGCTCTCATGACCTAACCACCTTTAAAGGCCCCACCTCCTAAGACCATCACATTGGAAGTTAGGATTTCAACACTGGAATTTTGGGGGAACACAGACCATAGCAGTGGTAGACTGCTGCCTTTGAGAACTAACCTTTGCTTTCCTTACCACACTGCAGGTGAGCTGATCAACCTTGCCATGTACTGTGAGAGGATAAGGAGGAAATTCTGGCCAGAGTGGCACCATGATGATGACAATACCATCTATGAGTCTGAGGAGAGCAGTGAAGGCAGCAAAACCCACACCCCGCTGCTGGATTTTAGCTTTTACTCAAGGACAGAGACCTTTGAAGATGAGGGAGCAGAAAACAGTTTTTCCAGAACCCCAGACACGGATTTTACGGGACACTCACTCTTTGATTCGGATGTGGACATGGATGACTATACGGACCACGAACAGTGCAAGTGATGTCCAGCTTCGCGGACCCTCTTCCTTGGGATCTGCCATTCCCTGGGTTGGTCCATTTTCCCAGGTAGCATTCCATCCGAGCTGGGAGGAGATCTTCGTGCTTGGCACAGTTTTCACATGCTAAGTGGACTATAGCAGCCTTATTTCTTTTTTGTACAAACAAAACACAGAACCATTCAGATGACTTCATTTAAAACAAACAGGCAAAAAAAAAAATAATAATGTCAGCATGGTTCCTGAAATCCATTTTTGTTTTCATTAGAAAACTATTAATAATATTGTGTGGTAGAGCAGGTATAAGAGCGAGTTGCCAGCTGATAGTGTTTATGATGATCCTCTTCATCCTGAGGTCTTAGTTGTGAGATGGATTCTTGAACCTCCTTCATCCATCAGGATTTGAAGTAATGAGAGATATCATCAGAAAAAATGTAGGAGATAAATGTTTTCTGGTGGCTGCTTGTACTTTATGTGTGCATATTGTATGTCGAGATGTAAGTCAAATAAAATCCACAGATATTCAACAAACACCTACTATGTGCAAAGCACTGTGCTAGGTGCTAATCAGTATGTGTTTTATTCTGAGCCCTGCCAGTGACTAGCTGTGTGATTTTGAGCAAATCTCTTATTAACTAATGTGTGCCTCATTTCTCCCACCTGCAAAGTGGGGATGACAATACTCTCCACCTACCTACCTCACAGGGGTGTTGTGGGGATTCATGTGATAACATTCGTTCGGCGCTTTAAACCTCTTGGACGTGGTGCAACATAAACACAGCATTTTATTCTTTATTGCACTTGACGCATGTGAAGATTTGAGGGCAAAGGAATTTCATATCCAGGCAACCACCACCACAGTCACTTGCAAAAGCTGAGCAGATGAAATGCACACAAAGGTACACTTAGCACTTTGTCATCATTCCTTTCTGTGATCTTGGTTGAATCAAAATCTTTTGTTCAAAGAACATTGGAAGTGTTTTTACAAATTATCGACAGCTACAAACAGTTTTCAATTCTACTGTGTATTTGCAGAAAAGTGGTTCTTTCATTGCCTGAACTCATGCATGTTCTGTGTTGACGCCGGAGTGTTAAGTTGCCTATGTTTCATTTATTTGAGGAGAATAAATCTCAGGAATATGGTGGGTTTCACAGAGGTGAAGGGGCAAGTATTTGATTGATTTTTGTAAGCAGAGGCTTGCCAACTTGTAATGTCTTTTTGAAAACAAACCTTGCAGAGATGTATTGAAAAGATGAAGTAGCAAGATGATACTTGTATCAAAGCACTCTGTTCAGTGATAGACTATATGTGGTTTTATTAATGCAGCTTATCTGGTATTTTTGGCCACTGCCCAGTGAGAGGAGAGCAATCCTGAGAACAACTCTTAATGTTTTTCCTGTGTCTTCCCCGTTCTCTCTCTCTTTCTCTATAGTATTCTATGAACTGTTGGCTTACCCATGTTTGTGAAGGCACCATATTTCCAAAGTTTTTTTTTTTTTTTTTTTGACTTAGGACATTTTCCAGGGAAATATGGGGCAAAGATCCTGGATGACGGTTGTGGATTTGGGCTAGGAGAGCCAGTGTTAAGAATTTACAATTGCAAATGAAACTGCTTTCTTCTGACCAACATAAGGATTGTTCACTATAGGGTTAAAGAGGCACTTCTTAAAGGCAACTTCTGAGAAATCCATGTACTTTACTTGAAAAAAAGAAAAACACCTCTTTTTGAATATAGCATTTGCAAAATCATTTTAAAAGACTGCTGTAGATTCACAAAGAGGTAAAGGGAGAAGAGATTTTGAGGCTGTTTACTTACCTCTTAAGCAATTGTGTAGGGCATATGTACGTGGGAATACATGCTGAGATACCCCAAGTTAGAAATTCTTATTCCACGGGAAACTTAGTTGTTAAAATCTTATTATAAGGGTTTTATTAAAACCCTGCTTATTTAGAGGAACTGTTTGATGCCTAATAAGAATGTGGTGGAGAAGATATGAGTGGATAAGCCTGTTTTGAGGCTGCAGCATCGTTTGGGAGGACTGTTTGCCTCCCCTGTCTCTAGCAAGTGTGTTTTAAGGCCAACTTGTGGCACTTCTGTGTGATTAGGGAGACTTCTGGACTAAAAATATGAATATCATGAAGAGGTGGACTGTAGACCTGTCTCCACAAAGCATGGGTTGTCTTTTTCCCACTACATTGCAGCTGAAAAGAAATGTATTTGAATTTTTCTCTGTAAACAATTTATTCTTACTGTATAGTACCAAGTGTGATGTATTTTCTCTCAAAGGATGATCAAGTTATGAGAATGTAGATTCATATATGTTTTTAATTTTGTATTACTTGGAATACAAGTATGTGGAGAACCAACTTTGAAAATGAAGTTGTAAAATAAGTCATTCTATCCAGGTACCTCCTACAGGGGCATGAATGGACACTGCTACCTGGAGTCTTGGGCACTTGCTTGACAGCTTATGACTGGGCACTCAACATTTTGTAGCTGTTAACTTGATTTCGATCCCTGGAATATACCCCAGCTTTACTTTCCCAAGGTGGGTTATGCAAACAAAATAACCAAGACAAAGTCAGCATGGTGTGGGTCTTTATCCACAAGGCTTTGATTTCATGTGATTCATTCTTAAGCTACCCAGATTTGAAATGTTCTCCAATTTCATGAACAGGTGCTAATTATAAGAAAAAACAATAAGGAGTTAAGGGACATTTTGGTCATCTGGCTTCTTGTTCAAGTTCTGTGTTTCCTTTTTGCTGGAAGGTAACTTGAACTATGTGATCTTTAATATTAACAGATATTTTTAGTTGGACAGAAGACTGACCCATGGGCTATTTGTTCTTTTTTACCTCTCATTGTAAAAGTAAATCAAGCTCTTATATCCATCTCTCTTTGCCCACTTGCATCCTCCCTCATCAAGATGAATGAGCAGAATCAATATGCTTTACTATCCATCAGAACAGATATAAGGACAATATATATTTATGCAAAGATGAACTATATTGTCAGCATTTACCATTTTGCTGTTGTTACGTAATGAATTTTGGAAAGTGATACTACCAAGGCTGTGGGCTATCCAGAAGACTGATCTGAGACTTAGAACAACTTAGACTTGAATCACAACTGCAGTCATGTCCTCAAGTGAGCCCTGGCCATGTATACTGAAGGCATTAGGGTATATTTTTGTGAAACAGTTAGGGTTCAAGGAACAGACATACTAAGGAGTTTAGCCTCATTGGTCTTGCTTAAATTTGTTTGAGAGAAGCTAGAGTAATCGAAATGTATAGCTGTGCCAAAAAAATCAGCTGTAGAAAGCAACTTAGTTGGCTTGGTGTCACACACATACTTATTTGAAGGGCAGAACCCAAAACTTGAGGTCAGTGATGGTTCTTTCCACTACACCATCTTGCCCATGATGGTTTCTTTTTATTATACTGTCTTGCCCCTGATGTTTCTTTCCATTACACCACCTTGGCTTGGTTGTCTTATAAAGTGCATGTTACCTGAGAAGTCACCCTGTGTTCACAGACCCAGCACATTTCCAGCCATTCTTTGCTTGGAATCCTACTTCACTTTTGTCCATGTCCAGTGAGCCTGGTCAAGCCAATAACAGAAACCTTTTATCAGTTATCTCCTCTGTGCAGGGCATTGCTTGACTCTGTGAAGAATAGCAAGATGGATTCCCACATCACCAAGACTCCTCATAGTTTCTTATGTATCTTTTAAAGAACCTATACCCATTCCCTCACTTGCTGAATATTTATGGAGCCCCTACTCAGTGCCTGGCCCTGGGATCTATACTAGTTGTAGAGTGGCAAATAGAACAGCACAGAGCTCTGATTTCAGGGCATCTCCTTTTGCCTAGACTTTCTCTAGCCTCTTTTACATACTTGGCCACTTTCCTGTTCCATTCCACCCACCACCAATGGATTAATCTTTGTGAAAAGCTCTTTGGCCCTGATGGGGTGTGCATTGCCTCATGGTGAGGGGATACTCTTAGGGTCTGGTGTTTTCACCTTTATTTACCTTGTCTCCATAGCTCCTGCATGGAAGCCACCCAGTGCAGCCAGGTTGAGCCATTTGCCATCGCCTAAACAAGCCTCATGTGCCCCACCTCTGTGCCTCTGCTTATGCCAGTCCTCCCGAAATGTCCTATTCTCTGCTCCACTGGCCCAAGTCATGCCCATCTCTCAAGGTCTGACTTCATCAGCTTCACATGAAGACTTCCTAGCTGATTATAATCTATTTCTTTGAAAGTGAAGCACTCACCATTTCCTTCCCTGAAGGTCACATGGGAAAGACACTCAGACCATGGGTCACATACTATTAAATGGTGATTTTTTTCACTTTTTGGGTGTCAGGATCTCCACTGATAATCTAATGAAAGTTCTATACCCTATTTCCAGAAAAACACATATATGCAAATATATAAAATTTTACATATAAATTGAGGAAATTTAGAGACCTCCTGAAATTATCCATGGTTCCTTAGGGGGTCAATGGACCCCAGTTAAAAAGTCTTGTTCCAAGGAATCTTTAAATGTTATCATTGTGTTTGTTCTTGTTTTTAACATAGCCAGAGAGAAGAAAAATTGGTACAGGCTATTCAGGCAAAAGTAATCTCTATTATTACCCATGTTCAGTGTCTCTTGAGTGACAGAAAAGAAGAAAGAAGTGTTATCGTAGGTTATTTGAAAAAATACTGTTTTGGAGGTTTGGAGTTTTGAAAGTGACAGGATTTTGTTGTTGTCGTTGTCATTTATCTTTTAACCAACCCTAAAATTGTCAAAATGAGTTCAGGGCCAAGTGCACTTCGTTTTAGCCCTGAAACCCACCACTTCTGCATGGATAGGATGACCAGTCTGGGCTGAAGGTGGGAAAAAAAAGGCTGGATTTTTCTTTACAGGAGAAAGATCTGCACAATCAGGTTTTCCTGTATTCATTCATTCATTCATTCATTCAACAATTGTTGAGTGTATTTTCAATAAAAGGTGGGTGTCTTTTGTTGATAGGGAACAACTCAGGTTATTCCTATTTCTTTCTTTCCTTTATGTTTTTTACAGAGTAAAGTTATTTTGTTGTTCCTGACTATGACCCAGGATCCTTTGTTTTCCTTTATATGCAGTGCTATTTAAGTCATACTAGAACTGACAAAAGTACACTCAATGACAAATACTTCCGAAGCTAAATGCTGGGCTCTGGGAACCCATCTTTAACAGGTCCAGGGATAAATTGCATTTGACTGTGAAATGCTTGACCTTTATTTAGTTGCTCCCAGTGGTCCGGATATAACTTGGGAAGTTCAAAAGGATCTTCTTGGTGGGGAGGAGGGTGAAGCCTCTTGCCTCTAAGACTCTTGCTAGTGTCAGGGGTAGATGCAAACATACGTGGGATGCTTTCCTCATCTGAATTCCTCACCAGAAACTCAGATTTTTGGTCCCTGTCTTTCCAAGAATATCTTAAGGATATTAAAGTTTTCTTAAATGTTGAGATTAGATTGCTGGAACCAGCAACATTAGTCTTGCCCGTTAGAGATGATTATAGAGGGTACTGAAGCATAGATTTAAAAAAATGGACTCAGTTGTTTTGGAGCTGACAGGGTGACCTCCTCAAACATTCTGCTTTCGCCAATGTTGGGAACTTGTCCCCAGACTTAGGCCCTCTAAAAATCCTGCTGCTGGCTGGACCATGACAAACTACGATGCTCAAATTTCATGAGGATAATTGCCTTAAGTTGTCAAATGGGTAGACAAATAAAGGGGACCATTGCAATAATAAAATGAATAACCTTATAGATATGGTCTAGCAGTGCCAAACTGACCATTTCAGTGGGAAAACAAGTCTTCTGGAGTAAAAGATGGATACAGTACTTTGTTTTTCTATACACAAATAATTTTAGCAATGAACTTAATGGCCATTATGCATTTTTGAAACAATCCACTAACTGTAAAGCTATATATATATATGTATCATAATCAATTAACTTTTTGTAAGTTGTGTTACTAAATGTGACTAATTCACCTCCCACCCACCCCCATTGGCATGCATTTATTTTTGTTTTTATTTGTGGCTCTGGAATAGAGTAACTTTCATTTATTAGTAATGCTTAAGCTTTTTTCCTTTTTTAGTACCTTTTTGTTTTTAGTTACCCCATGACTTCTAAAAAAATAAGATCCAACTTCTGAATTACCATGTTATTTAATGGTGGCTAAACATATAGCAGAGGGAATATAATTGTTCAGTGAGGGCTAAAAAAGAGAAATGATTTAAATATTTACTATCTTCTTCCTCTTTAAAAAATTGTTGATGACTTTCCCCTTTCATATTTCAGAATCAGAAATGTTCTTTCATATTTGCTTCTCTTCTATAAGACATTATATTTGACTTATTAAAATATAAACTATGTCCAAATGATTGTATTTTTACCTTTAAAAATTATATCTGGGATTTGTTTTTTGCAGAAATAAGGCTGAAGACTTCTGCTTCAGTAGAGATGACATGTTTGTGTTACTGCTGTCAAAATGATTTTATTGCAAGTAATAAGCCTCGTGGGATCAGAACATGCTTATTGTAAACACATGTTTTTTCCCAGTGATCTACATCATGCCAATGTTTGACAGCTCAAATGTTGATGAGGGTGATGGTTGGAAAAATGAGGGTCTGAGTCCTCCATTTGGGGTATTAGAATTTAACTGAGTAGGAGGAGAGAAGAAAACAGTAACAAATGTGAGAGTTTCAAGCAACTATGTGGTATGGTTGTGGTAGAGATGTATCAGGCAATTGAAAGTTTTCTAGGTGGTGGCATCTTGCTAAAATAATAAAAAGCACAGGTTTATGAGTAAAAAACAAATGCAATCTATGTAGGGAAGGATTTTCTGTGAATATACAAGTGGCCAGTCCAGGAAATGTTGAAGTAACATTTGTCTTTATCTTAATTTCTATGCTTGTGTCCCCCATTCCGCTTCTGAAGCCAGGCCTGGGACCTTAGATAGCAGCCTAGAGGGTCTGGCCCTGATATGTTTACTCTTTTAATTTTGGAATTTCCTTCTGGTCTTTAAAAAGTGCTGCATATTATCTTTCATTTTATAAATATAAAATGTACACAGTAATTTACATTCTGTTTTAGAGAAGCCCTTTAAATGTTTGGAGACAGCCCAGATCATCCCTATTTAGGCAGTGGTCTCCAAACCTTTGTGCTTATTCACCCATCAGTAAAACTTTCTCAGCTTGCCCCTCCATGTATTTATTTATGATATACATATATATATATGTATATGTATACACTGCTGTATATGTATATACTGTTGTACTGATGTAAACATTAAAAACCATAGCAAACATAGAAATTTTAAAAGTATATTTTCTGGTCCACAATGGAGTTTAGAGAATGGGACAAGGGGTCTTTAGGGGTTAGCATCCAGATGGCTGTAATTGATTAGAAAATGTGTATATACTATTTGTGGCAAAGCACATATAAAATAGTCATGGACACATGATTTTAATTCAAGGTATTTAATTATTTTTACCTAAAAAGGCATTTTTGGTTGGGGAAGAAAAGGATGAACAATTCGGTGTCACCTTTAAGACTGCTCTTTTTAATTCTGCTTTTGGGACCATTTGATCTAGAATGTCTTGAAAATTCCAGAAAGATTTAACAACACACTGATTTAAGCAAAACAAAGAAAAAGAAAGTAGGGGTGGGGTGGTACCCCAATAATGCAAATACGGGATGTGTTGTCTGAGAATTTCAGCATCAATCTGAAAAACATGTTTTGATAATGCCTGGTAATTCGTCATCTCACTGATTACATGTCTTTTTTTCTATTTGTTTATAACCTTGTGTCTTCAAATGTGGCAGATGTACAGACTTATTTTCAGATATCTGAGATAGGAAGGGCCAATGTTGGCATAATTTGAACCCGCATTTCAGCTGCTTGGGGCTGATGGGCAGAAACCACCTGGAAACACCTGCATGATCTGTTTTGCAAACACGATGATTAGCATCTTGCTGAATGATTACCCCAGTATGAAGGTGGCATTTCAGTGTTTATTTCTGGACCTATGAGTTACTTTAGCAGAGTTATTAGTAGTTTATGAAGCCATATTTAAAACTTGTACACTTGATTGTAAGATAGATTTGAATTGTGCACTATGTTGATTACTGTATATAAATGTGGAAAATCTGTATATTTGGTCTTAATGCTGTATGTATTTGATGTGTAAATGATAACTAATGGATATGAAATAGTTTTCTGTGAATGTCTTTATTCCAATTTACTTCTCTTTTGCAAATTTGAATGTTTAAACTTCAGGCTCATGGGGAAAATCTGAAATGCTTGCATCTAATATACTGTTAAGTGGTGGCCTTTTAGATGATTGGGAGAATATTTTAGTTGTAAGGCTCTTGTATAATTAAAACAGAGGTAATGAATTTTTTAGGCATATAACTTTCTGATAGAATTTCAAATGAGTGGCTTTTAAGAAGAAAAACAGATCTCTGGAATATGCTGTCCCATCCTCTCCTGCTTTTATTTCATGCCCAATGTGCCTCAGAGTGTTACTAAGTGTGAAAACCACTGGTAGAGAGAAGAAAAGGAAGAGAGGGAGAGCTGGAGCACAGGTTAAGACCTTTACTATGGCTAGGCCTTATAATAGATCAATTTTTCCTTGCATAAATACCATCTCAATTAGTTTTCATGCCTCTTCAATAAAGTAATTATGGTGAAGAGGTTTACAGATGAAGAAATAGGTTTGGGGTGATAAAATGGCATATGGTAATATGGCTATGATACGCTCAAGTCATTGGGGTCAGAGATTCACAGCAAGATTTTGGAAATTCAAATCTTACTAAGAAGTGATTCACACATGTATATGGTAATGAACCTTAAAGGATAGCTAGGCCTATAGGCTTTGTCAAGATCTACAGAGACATGCAGATGTTTCAAATTCTATCTTAGAATTTGACCAACTCTTTGGTCAAATAATAATATTGTTACTCAAATATTAGCTTTTTACCATTTAAAGCAAATTACAATCAGGTAACATTCAAAATTCTAACCCTCCTTTCTCAACATGGGAATATCTGTTAAGTAGCAAATGAGAGAACCACCTAATCCCGCATTTCAGTGATAATACAGGTTGAGTATTTCTTATCTGAAGTGCTTGGGACCAGAAGTGTTTTGGGTTTGGGTTTTTCTCAGATTTTGAAATATTTGCATTATACCAGTTGAGTATCCTGAAATCAAAATTGGAAATCTGAAATGATCCAATGTCCGTTTCATTTGAGTGTAATGTTGGTGCTCAAAAAATTTTGGATTTTGGAGCATTTCAGATTTTGGATTTTTGGATTTGGAATGTTCAACCTGTAGTTTGGTTTTTATCTTTTTAGACTCCATTTCTCTTGACCTTTAATTTCTAACTAGCCCTGTTTATTAACATAGTCCTCAGAAATGCTTTGCATTAGATCTATATCTACTTCAATGTCAGTTGGCTCCAGACCCTTGTAGAACTTGTATGAGGTCCTGGCCTTCCCGTCTGTCATGTTCGGGAAGCTTTGCCACCCTAGCTTTTAGGACTCATCAGAGGGAAGAGGGTCATTTGTTTTTCCAGTGTGCTGGTCTCTCAGAAGCGTTAAAATACGTGTTTTGCTGCCATTCGTATTGTTTCTTGACTCAATTTTTCATATTTCTGTTCTTCTTCCTTTTTAGAGGAGAGGAGGAACAGCTGGTCTCCCTGCCCTCCCAGATGCTGCCTGATTTATTTCTAGATGACATCACTGGCAGGCACTCATTAGATCCTTCACAGCTGGGCTGGTTCCCATTACAACAGACTTTTCTTTTAAAAACTATCAAGGTCAGAGTAGCTTATCCTTTGGATAAAAGTCAATTTTCAAAAAAATTAAAAGGAAAGAGAACCAGCTTCCTTCCTTACAGAGTTAGTGTGTTGTTGCCCTGTGTGCCTAAGACCTCTATATTAGTGCCAGTGTTCTTGTTATGAAGATTTAGGGCGTCGTCTCCAGTGCAGGCCCTGTTAGGATTGGAGGGTTACAATCACCTACTGCAGGGTGTGTTCGGCCTGGGCAAACACTGGGTCACCCAGGCTCAACATTGTATCCAGGTAAACCTGGATGAAAACAAACATGAAAGGCAGCTCGGGGAGGGTGAGGATTGAGGGAAGGTCTGTGTGAGGGAGGAGCAGGCCCAGGCCCCTTCTCCACTCTACCTATTTACAGGCATTGATTGTATGGGGGCCTGGCTGCCTCCTTCTCCACCGTCACAGATCTCCTCCTAACTTTAGCTGGGGAATTTAAAGGAAGATGGCGGAAGTCCCATGTGACTGTCAAACAGTCAAAAGTCAAATGTCAAATAGTCCAGATTCACTGGTGGCACAGCTTGGGAACTGGGGTAAGTGAGGAGAAAGTATGCAGGGTCAGACTCTACGCAAGTCCTCTCTTTGGGAGTAAGGAAGGTGTTTGAGCAGGAGACTAACACAATGAAAGAATATTTAAATAAGGCTCATCTGAGGACAGCCTGGATACAGTCAGAGAAGAGGCCATGTTAGAGTAATGAGACCTGCTGATTCTGGGGGCTCAGAGTGAAGCTAGAGGCGTGCAAGGGGTAGTGGGTGGTGGAGACTGGGAGTGGGAGCGAGCAGCCACATGCACAAGGAAACGCTGAGACTCCTGGGATGTGAGGTGGAGAGAGATGATGAAAGTGAAGGTAATGCTGAGGCTCCTACCCCTTGAGACGGGGGAATGTAGTGATGCTGCTGTCAGATAGGGGAAATGTGGAGGAAGGGGAATGGGTTTGCAGGGAAAGTGGAGTCTGGTTTTAGTCACACTGAATTTGAGGATCCAGTAGCAAATACAGGACTGGATCTTGTGATGGGGTAATGTGAAGCCTCTGAAGAGATAGTTAAAGCAAATAAACTGAAAAGCGAGAGACAGAATAAAAATTACTAGCACCTTATATTTGTATTATGTTTAATTGTCTTCAAGATATTGTCAGTAACTCCTGGAGCATGTCACTGTTATCTTCTTATATAAAATGAGGGGGCCTGCAGGGTGATCTTCAAGAGACCTTCTAGCTCAAACCTCCTTCCGTCCTCCCCTTCCTTCCTTCCTTCCTTCCTTCCTCCTGCTTTGCTGATTCTCATATCAATGAAAACAGTTTATTGACCAACTAAAAATAGCTGACATTTACCTGTCACTTACCATGTGCCAAACACTGTGTTCTTTGCAACCTACATATTCAAACTCATTGAATTCTCACAACAATAAAATAGGTGCTACCATTTTCACCATTGTCATTGTCACCATCATCACCATCATGTGACTCCATCATCATCACCACCACCACCATCATCACCATTGTCACCATCACTAGCACCACCACCACAACCACCACCATCATCTCCATCAGCATCACCGTCACCATCACCGTCATCTCCGCCGATTAGAAAACTGAGGCAAAGTGAGGTTACATAACTTGCTGGAACTCTCATGCCAACTGAACAGCAGGGCTGAGGTTTGAAAGCAACAAGTCTAGGTTTATTAATGTAGCTTTCACACCCTATGCAACACTAGCTCGACACCACGCTATCTCTTCTGCTATCGCATCACACAGCCTTCTGGGTAGAAGGCTGTAAAGACTGGGAGTTGCTTGTGTTGAACTTCATCACCTTCTGTTAAATCACCCTCACTTAGTAATGCAGGGTTTGCCTTCTTACAGAACACGTGCAGATCTGGATCATCATGCCCTTGATCTATGTTCAGAGACTCCTTGATTCTCTGTTAGGGGGACTGTCTGATTTGTGAATTATATGTGGTCAGTTCACTTTTATTATTATTATTATTATTTTGAGATGGAGTCTCACTCTGTCACCTAAGCTGGAGTGCCCTGGCCCTATCTTGGCTCACTGCAACGTCCACCTCCTCGGTTGAAGCGATTCTCCTGTCTCAGCCTCTCCAGTAGCTGGAATTACAGGTGTGCGCCACCATGCCCAGCTAATTTTTGTATTTTTAGTAGAGACGGGGTTTTGTCATGTTGACCAGGCTGGTCTCAAACTCTTGTCTTTAGGAGATCCGCCTGCCTCGGCCTCCCAAAGTGCTGGGATTACAGGTGTGACCCACTGTGCCCAGCAAGTTCACCTTAATTCTGATGGTTATAACCATTGGTTCCACACAATTTACCCACCCTGAGTTCCTAGACAGGGGCCCTGGGGATATTACAGAAAAAATAAAGGAGAAAACACCCTTAAATGACAGGATTCTTAGGGCTTCAAATGCCACTGCCTTGAGGAGCTCACCTTACATATTGCTTTCCACCATCTACAAACAGATGATACACATTTCAACATCTCTAACCCCAGACCTTGCTCCCAGTTTCCCATCTCCAGACTCACATATAAACACATCTATGGACACTGCCTCTCGTGTACCAACATATTCAGAAGTGAACTTATAATCACTTTCCCCTAGTCTTTTGTTTCCTGATGTTTCTAATCCACCCAATGTCTAAGCAAAACCCCTGGAGTCATCTAAAGGGCTCCTACCTTCTCCTTGAAAATTTCGAGTTACCTAATCCTGTAGATTCTGCTTTTTGAAAATAGTTATTTTTTTAAATTTTATTTTAGAATCAGGGTACATGTGCAGGTTTTATATAGGCAAATTGCATGTCTCAGGGGTTTTGTGTACAGATTGTGTCATACCCAGGTAATAAGTATGGTACTTGATAGCTTGTTTTTCGATCCTCACCCTCGAAACCTCCACCCTCAAGTAAACCCTAGTGTCTGCTGTTTCCTTCTTTGTGACCGTAAGTACTCAGTGCTTTGCGTCCACTTATAAGTGAGGACATGCAGTATTTTGTTTTCTGTTTCTGTGTTAGTTCACTTAGGATAATGGCTATCTTCCGTCCATGTTGCTGCAAAGGACATGATCTTGTTCTTTTTTGGAGACAGTTTTAATTCCTCTCCTCCTCAGCTCAACCTGAATGTTTGGAGCTATTTCTTTTCCTTTTTTTTTTTTGAGACGGAGTCTTGATCTGTCATCCCAGGCTGGAGTGCAGTGGTGTGGTCTTAGCTCACTGCAACCTTTGCCTCCCAGCAATTCTCATGCCTCAGCCTCCCAAGTAGCTGGGATTACAGGCATGTGCCACCACTCTCTGCTAATTTTTTGTTTTTTTGGTATAGATGGGGTTTCACCATGTTAACTAGGCTGGTATTCAACTCCTGGTCTAAAGTGATCCACCTGCCTCGGCCTCCCAAAGTGCTGGGATTATAGGCATGGGCCACTCCGCCCGGCCAGGAGCTGCTGTTTCTTATCTGGGTTCTCTCCCATTATATACCTTGCTGCCAAGCTATTCAAAAAGCAAAGACCTGTTCATACTGCTTCTGTAGGTTTCAAGATAAAGTTCAGGCATACAATAATCTTCATGTCCTGGAACCTGCCTCCTTTACTGGTCATGCTGTCCACTTTTGCCCTTTCTACAGTCACACACCAAACTGCAGAGCTACCAAACTATGCAAGGTTTTTGGTCATGTTGTTTCACATGGCGATCCACCACCAAGGGAAGGATGCTGTTTTTAAAAAAAATTTGACATTGCTGTGGTTTGACCATATGTGTCCCTCCAAAATTCATATGTTGAAAACTAATCTCCAATGCAATAGTATTGAGGTGGAACTTTTAGGAAGGCAGCACACTCATGAATGTCCTTATAAAAGATGGTCTAGTGAGATCCAGAATCCCTCTTGTGCCCATTTGCTATGGAAGGGTGTCATTTTGACAGTAGAGAGTCAGCCTTCACCAGACACTGTTTCTCACAGTTCTGGAAGCTGGGAAGTCCAAGCCTAAGGTATCAGCAATTTCTATTCTATAATAAATTATCCAGTTTGTGGTATTTTGTAACAGCAGCCTGAACAGACCGAGACAGACATCTCTGTCTCTTTCCTTTCCACAACATACAGTTGTGCCCTCTCATTTGCATGGAAAGGAAGAAACATGTCTTTTATTGGTTAAAAAGACTTTCAGAAAGCTGGAAGTTTAAGAAATAGTTGTCCACAGACCACAGGACCTGAATTCTAAGTGCAAGATTCTGTTTATCCTCATCCTCCTGAGACGACTCACACTGTCAAGGACTCTCTCTCCACCATCAGCATCTTATACAGGTAAATAATATTAGCATGCAAGGGATAAAAGAGGCAAAGAGGTGTCTTGAAAAGGTCAAAAAGGACATGGAGTGCATCTGTGAAAGGGAGGGACAGGGTTTTGCTCAGCAGCATTATGCTAGCTGCTTGGAGGCAGGTAGTGTGGGCTGATTGGGTATATGCAGCTTATGTCTTAGTATCAACTAAGTTACCCTTTTTCCTTAACAGCAGCATCCCAAAGTCACTGTGCAGCAGCTTTTCCCTATGGGTGGAGTCCTGGGAAACTGCTTAGACAGAGGTTTAAGGATAGAGTACCCTGAGAACCCCCACCCCAAAATGTTTGTGGTTGTGTCCTCATTGAACATTTATTTGATTTTTTTGTTGATGGGTATTTACTCTGCAGGCAGGACTCTCTAGCTGGCTATAGGATGTCTGTTTTCTGGTGTCAACAGCTTTATGGGCCTAAAGCCCGCAGCAGCTGGAAGTCCAAAGGTACACAATCCACTTCCCCTCATACCTCGGTACATGTAGTAAATGCTCGATAAAGATTTGTGACAGAAATGGACAGATTCTCAGGTAAAAGACAAATCAGATTCCAAAGCAATATCCTATTTCAGGTTTGACACAACATACTGTGCAAAGGCAGCCAATAAATTACTCACAGATCAAATCACAGGTGACTGAATTATGAGGTAGGAACTTCTGAAGGCTCAAGTGGTTTATGCAGTCCTCAGCATCCCTGGATGGAATTATAGCCCCATAATTCAAATAGCTCCTGTTTCCTTGACACACACATACCATGGATTTGAATCCAAAATTCTGCCCATGGTTGACACTCTGTTTTTCTCCACCCCTGCACTCTTTTGCTGCCCAATAAATTCTTTTGTTGAAGCCTCTAGTGTTAGGTAGAAATTTCCCTATTTCTTTGTGCTATGTTGTTTCCATGTATTACTGGGTATTTAACTTATTAACGAGACTACATACATTAACGTTTTGTGAATGGCTTTCTTTTGGGATTTTGGAAGTTTGTTTCTTTTAGCTGTCAGTTTTTGCATCCTGTATGAAGCACAGTGAGGCTAGTGCACAGTGCCTTCTTTGCTTAAGTGCTAGCATGTGTGCATTTAGTCTGATCTCTGCACACAAAAACAGAGGCAGTGAAATGGGAAAGCTTCCCTTGTCCCCCTTGCAGGGCACGTGACGGGGGTGTGGTTCGCTTCTTCAGTACCCCCTCTGCTCAAACCTTTAGGGGAAGCATACGGAGGGGCGGGCTGTGAGGTTCCAACCCCACAGCAGTGTCTAGGGGTGAATGTTTACAGCTAAAGCCCCAGAGGGCACGTGTTACCAGGTGTGCGCTCTTTTAGTTTGCCATCTACAGGTAGGATGTGTTAGCTCAATTACACCCTCTCCCTTCTCACAAGGACAGAGGGTTTTCTGTATCCTGGGGTTTCTTGCCTTGGTGTACCGGAAGAATTGGATCACACGCTGTCTTGGAGAACGAATGCAAGGTTTTATTGAATGGAAGTAACTCTCAGCAGACAGGGGGAGCCAGAAGGGAGATGGTTTTCCGGTGGAGATGGGCCACCTGGCGGCGGGCCTCTCCTCCAAGTGCTCTAACCAAGCTCCGTGTTGTTCTGCCGGTGAGTGGCCTGCGGCCTGCTGGTGCGTTCCTCTCCACGTCTGGCCGCCTGTGTGTTCCTCCACAAACATACTCCTCCGGAGGTCCAGTTGCTTTCACCTCTATCCTGCTAGGGTGTTGGGTTTTTATAGGCACAGGATGGGGGCGTGGCAGGCCAGGGTGGTCTTGGGAAATGCAACATTTGCGCACAAAGGCAGGAGTGCCTGACCTCACCTAGGTCCTTGAGGGTGGAGCCAGGGACCACGCCCTTCCTCTACCCACACTTCCCTTCCCCACTTCCGTATCGTTTAAAGGGACCATGCTCTTCCCTTCCCAGCACTTCCGTATCATTTCCTCTCTCTGAAGAGGTACATCTAACTGCTGTTAGAATATGGACAATGACCAGTTTTAGCTGCTTCCTACTGTCAGGGGTCATTGTTTTGGAGGAAAACAGCAGTCAGACTCCTCCCAGAAGTGTTCCTAGCAAAGGTAAGCCAACGTCCGAGGCTCTGGCTGCCTGACCATTTGGAGTTTAATGGTTTCTAGGTGTGAGAGAAAGAAAAAACCAAGTTTTATAAGGTTAAGTATGCATGAGTTAACATGTCTATTATTCAAAGAAAGGATTTAGTGTCAAAGATTACAGAGACAAGAAGTACAATGTACTAATAACAGTGTACTCTGAGCTCTTTCACTTGGATGAAAGAAATTAAACCTTGTATGGGAGCAGATAAAGTTTTAGAATACAGGAAACCGTTCTTGCCATATCTTTAGCGGTTAATAAGTGCACCCTGGGAATACCTGTATCTCCTCTCTCTTTCACGGGCCTCCCTGTCTCTATTAGAAAAGACCGAGGTGGCCACTTTCAGGAGGTCCTCTAATGTACTTTGTGGTCCCAGGGCTCGTTTCTGCAACTTTCTCCTGATGTCAGGAGCTGCCTGAGTAATAAAGTTGCCCTTTAGGATTAGCTGTCCCTCAACTGAATCAGGAGATGGAGAGGCGTGCTTTACCAAGGCCTCCCTTAGCCTTTCCAGAAAGGCAGTGGAATTTTCTTTAAATCCCTGGTCTATCATGGACAACTTAATATAATTGAGAGGATTGGTCCCAGTCCTACGTAAAAGCCTTCCATTATGCACACCTGAAAGTGTCTCCTTTTCTACCTCACCACTGGGATCCCATTTAGGGTTATCCATTGGTACTGCTTCTCTTCCAGCTGGATAATGTTTCCCCCTTCCCTGAGGCTATATGTAATACAAAGCTCATCCCCAAATCTCTCTACTGCTTGCAGAGAAGTCTGCTTCTCATTGTCCGTCAGGGTCTGATTCAAAAGTAAAATTAACATCTCTCCAGGAGAGTTCAAATATTTGAGTGAAATCCTGGAAAGCCTCTATATGTCTATCAGGGTCATCTGAAAACTTGCCAAGATCTCCCTTAATTTGCCCTAAGTCCTGTAGGGAGAAGGGGTCCTGAACCCCAGTGGGCCCAAATCCACTGGGTACCTGTTGTGGGGCGGGGGTGGGGTGGGGCAAGAGAGAGACTGGGGTTTATTTAGGGCAAGGATTTTTAGGAGGGGCAAGTGAGAAGCTGAAGCTGAATAGGGAGGTAGGGATGAACCTGGAGGGGTAGGGCTGGAGGGAGTTGGCTGCTCTGTTAGGGGTGCCTCTGGGGCTTGTATCTTTACTTCCCTGGGGTTGCCCCTTGCAGCCTTCCCTGAGACGGCAAACAGGAGGGCTGGATCAATTCTACACTATCGGTAAAGGTCTGGATTGCCTTGCAAATTATAGAAAGCCTGCACATATGGGGCCTCAGACCATCTGTCTTCACATCTCTAGAAAAGTTCCAATTGCCAGATGGTATCAAAATGAATGGTTCCTTCCTGAGGCCAAGTCAGTCCTTCTTGTAAATCATAATTTGGCTGAACCTTTATGCAGAAGGCTGTGAAGCATTTTTCCTTCAGATTCTGAGGATCAAAGCAGTCCCAATGGTTTAGGATATACTCCAGAGGAATATAAGCTCTGGGGGTGGTAAAGAGAACTGGTTGCCCATTCTGAAAGACAGGGAATAGAGGCATCCCTCATTCCCTTCCTTCTTTCAGTGAAAACTCAGGGTGTGATGGAGAGAGAAAGCAAGCGTCCTCCCTTCACTCTCCACCCCTTATCCCTGAGCCAGCCATAGGTACCACTGCGATATGTACCCACGAAGCAGGGAAAATCCGGAGAATAGGCATTAACTGCCCTCACACAGGCCTCCATCTCTCCCTGCTGGTTGGCAAATGTTGAGTTTCCCGGGCCTGTTTATGCCATAAAGCATGGCCTCCCTCTGTGGGGTGAAGGGTTTAATTAGCAGGCATTTGTCATGCCCATTTATGATGTGCCTTGTTGCCTGGCTTTGGAAGCCTCAGACCTGGTTTTTCTTTCTAGGGCCTCTGCCTGAAGCTGGGAATCGAGTTTGGGACTGAAAAGGAGGCATTTTTAATTCTCCTGCCACCAAAATGGTTGTAGATATTTGCATATGTTTAAAGATGGCTCTCTTGTGGTTGCATTCATGGCCCTTTAGAGACTTTCTGGTACTGGGAGTCTATGACCTGGCAGCGGCAATGACATTTGCATCTTCTCTGGCTGACCCTTTAGGACTCCGCTGTTGCCCTTTGGTTAGAATTCTACCACTTTTCTAAGAGCCGTCTTAGGCAAAGTCTCCAAGATGGTACGGTGCCATTCTCTGCTTTTCTTTATCTTAAAATGTAGACTTCTCACTCAGATGTTGAACTCTCTACCAGGCCTCATTCACTGAGCTTGAGGTGACTCCCTGATCCTTCACCCACCCCTGCTAGACCTGCTTATATAGTCTAAGTAAGACTCCACTGAGGAGAGCGGGATTAGTTGGTGCTTATTGTCTTGGGCTCTCAGTTGAAGGTGAGGAATAGTTCCAGTTTAATATCCTGTAAAGTGTAGCATATACATGTGAAAGAGAACCAAATGGGCTTGATGGGCATGAGTCTGTTAAGAGCCACTGATGAGCAGGACTCTGGTATCTGTTCTCCTCAGGCTTGATGTGGGAGGCACTCATTACAAGGGCTCTGCGCCAAGTATTCCCACCTGTTCAGTTCTTTCTCATGAGCTCCTACCTTTTTTTTCATCATTGCAAAATAAGATGATAAAAAACTCTTCATTGGCCCAAATAACTGGTTAACCTAGCCCTGGGTTTTGTCTCTGAAGTGAGATTCTGAGGTACTCTGGTGATACTCTCTTAGTATGTAGGAATATTTCCAAATGTTCTCTTCTTTTAATAACCTGAAATGAAACTACACCCATATATATATAAATCAATCATATAATCCAAAGATATTTATTGCTCACTTCATGTTCTGTTCTTTGTTAGGGACTTGAAGAGACTAAAGATTATTAATATGAGAATACTAAAATATGTGTACATGAAAAGATACCTCACAAATGGGCAAGGGACTGTCAAAGGGCCTGGCTTAATGAGTAGGAGCCTTGGCTTCATGAAAATAAGTGGAATTTGTTGAGTAAAGTTGGTATTAAAGTGTCACTTCTAAGGCCAAAACTGCAGGGTAAATTGTTCATAGAAATTTATTCCCAAATTATGATTCAGGGAAGTTATAATAATTTGTGTTTTGCCAGGTGCACTGGCTCACTGTTATCCTAGCACTTTGAGAGGCCAAGGTGGGTGGATCACTTGAGGTAGGGAGTTTGAGACCAGCCTGGCCAACATGGTGAAACGTTGTCTCTACAAAATTAGCCAGTTGTGGTGGTGCATACTTGTAATCCCAGCTACATGGGAGGCTGAGGTGGGAGGATCACTTGAACCTGAGAGGTGGAGGTTGCAGTGAGAGGAGATCATGCCATCGTGCTTCAGCCTGGGTGACAGACCGAGAGTCCATCTACAAAAAAAAAGTGTTTTAATTTTACTTGTTTATAACATTAGGATTAAACTAAAACTCATAAAAATAATAGAAATTTATGCTTTTAAAGTCTGGGTGCCATTGTACGCCTAGCACACTATTGCCTCCTGGTAACAGCATGTGCAAATTGCAGGAATGTGAACAGAAACCAATCTTAGGTGTTGAATCTGTTTTTAAAAAGTGGTAATTTTTTGATATGTTAAAATCATAAATGATTAATAAAATACAATCATAAATTATAATTATGAATAAATCATATAGATTATAAATTATAATAAAATTGTAAATAAATGGAAAAGATTGTAGGTACAGATGATTTCAGAGTAAGTGAGGGCAGTGTAGGTAAGTGTGATCATCAATGGCCCTGGGAAGATGTAAACATATTCCTAGATGAATGAATAATGTTCAGGCAAAAAGCAGTGGAAGAGAGATTCCATTTGATTTGGGTATTCAAGAATAGTCTCTATTTTATCATTCTTTCATTTTCACCTGTAGCACAGAGCAGGGCACAGTGGGTGACCTTGTTAACAAACTATATGTATGTTGGATATAGTCAACTGATTGGTTGAATGCAGTGGAAGGGTCATGTTGTGAGTAAGTGGCAACTGAGGTTATAAATAGATCTGTGCAAGACTGTAAAGCATAGTGGATACTAAGAAGAGGGGTTTGGACTTTGTATGGTATGCAGTGAGGCCTTTTGAGTGGAAGGTTAGCAAATTGATAAAGGAGGATTAATCCAGCAGCAGTGTGCGTTAGAAGGGAAGAGCAGGCTGTTCTATAAATTTCTTCCTTTCTTTCCACATTGTTGCTCTCAACTTGGGTCCTTATTTCTCCTTGGCAGAACCTCCTGCTCAGACACCTTTGATGGCTCCTCACCATTACAGAATAGTCTCAACTCTTTAGCCTGCTTATCAAAGACTTCTTATATCCTGTTCCTAAAGATCTCATTCTCCTGCGTGAAAGATCTCATTCTCCTCTGTGAAGTTTCCTCATGTGAACTTCATTCTGTATCCAGACAGCTGATTTACTCAAATTGTGTCATATTCTTGGTTGCCTTTGTGTCTTGGCTTGTGGGATTTGCATCCTGTCTGCTTATCTGCGCTCCTAGTGTTGCCATATCAAGTTTATCCTTCTCTGGGAAGTCTTCCTGCCCTGAGAATTGGTCCCTTCTTCTAAGGGTTGAAGCAAATATTGTTTATCTGTTCCCTTAGCAACTAGCATGTGCCCATGTCATTTTCTATTCATCTCTTGTTGTATATCACATCCACTTTTGAGATTATAAATTTTCAGAAAATACACCTGAGTTCTTGCATTTAAAAAAACATTTCTTGGAGGATTCAGTAAATATATGGTGTTCAAAGTGAAGATGGTAGAAATAAAAGGGAAGAGGCAAATGCATGAGTGATTTTGAAGGAAGAATTCATAGAACTTTGTAATTACTGAGGTACCTAAATCCTTGTTGGGCTTATTTTTTATTTTTATGCTGTACAGACTCTTGAGATAATAGGTTCTGTATACATCCATACTCCTGTGCAAGGAAGTTCTTCCTTTTATTTGTCCTAAATTGCCC